GTATTTCAATGTTTCTTTTCCAGCCCCAGATCCGATTACCAGGCAGTGCCCAAACCTTGGCCGCTATGAAATCGTGTCCGTGTTGCATAATCACAACAGTGACAAAGCGGAGGACATATTAGGCGTGGATGGTGAACCGATGGCGAACGCTGCCGAGGTTCAAGACGTCAGGGTCACGTCGACACCTAATCCAGGACGATGTCGCTATGGGAGTGTTCGCCGATTAGACATCGGTTGCAAGACACCGGATCGTATGGAGTTTGCTACGTCGTGCAGCGACGAAACACCAGCGGGTAAGAGAACTTCAACAGAACTTTAAAAGTAAAATTCACGGATTTCTTATTGACATCTTATCTGTTCCAAGTCTCGCGAGACTTTTATTCTGACTCTGACTCCACTTGGGATTCTATTAATCCTAATCGATCTTTCAGTTGGTCCATGAGTAGTTTAATAACAAGTTGGGCTATTCTTATCAAGCAACTAGAAATTTTGGACCAACTTTGGGTTAAACTAAGCATAGATCTCGGGCTAGTAGTATTTTGGGTAAGTCATATGGGTTAGACCAAAATTGACAGGTTGAGTGACAGGTTGAATCGTATTTAGGTTAAACTAGGTTAGATCCTCATCAGACGATAAGTTAGGTTTTCATCTGTTCGACCTCCTAAGATATTAGGAGATCATTATTATTATTATTTCTGTTCGGGAATATTTGTCTATTCAAAAATTAGATTAAACTCATATTATTTCAATTTATTAAACTCATTTATTACAATTCAATAAAAATTACAAACTTCGCCCTAATATTAGGATTCATCTGTTCCGTCCAATTGTCTGTCTATTTAACAATTTAACAATTTCGAGATAATTTTATTCCTGATATATACCATCTCATAATTAATTTAAAACACTAACTCTCGAATCTGTAGATAATTATATTATTTCATACGCGAACTCTATGCCGTTGAATTATTTTTCAGCGAAGGCTTTAAATTCATTTCAAATTAAATCAGACAACTCTCCCGTCTTTATTCACTCGCTGAAGTAACCAACCACTTAAGAAATTCATTTAATCTTCAAATTTATCCACGTGAGAGATCACTTTTAAAGTACGGAGTTCCGAACTAACCTCCTCTCACGGCGAAAAAAAACCTAACCTTAAATATTCATTAATTCCACGAAACGCTGTCATTCATCAGCTTTAAATTTCCATTATAAACTTCCCTATTTAGTTCCTCGTCTTCTTTCCTCGGTTTCTTTGAAGCGGGAAACGGAAAGGTTGTAAGTTAATACTTACCGAGTGATTAATGTTCCTCGGTGAGAAACGAGACGATGCTGTCGTTCCCCTGACACGTATTTCTCTCCCCGAGAAACAAAGGGGACAGAAACATAAAAATTTCTGACGAGACGAAAATCGTTTGAGGCGGACATCGATTGCATTCGAAGTTAGGCTAATTTCGAATTTCAGATTCTGTCCTATTTCGTAATATTACCACAGTCTGAATAGACTGGAATGCTAGTCAGACAAGTACAGCCTGAATTATCCAAATTTGTACCACTTGCGAACTCTGCAAACTCACCTGTATTTTCTAAATCGTCGAGAAGTGCCCCTGGAAAAATTACGATTATAAGAGACACTTCTCTCGCAGACACTCGGTGTCTCGATTGTCATCCGTCTTACCTGTATATCTCGGCTCCATTGAAATCGACTGTGCTCGCGGGGAGCATCGCCACAGGGGGTCGAGTGAATCCTCGAAGGGTGGAGTCAGCCCCAACAGGAACATCTTATCGGATTACCCGCACCAGGGCCAAGTTATCCCCCCATCGAGAAGAGACGCATCTCCGTCGCTTCTCCATTTACCTCGAGCCTCTTCCCACTTGCCTGAGTGGTGGTAGTGGGAGTGAAGTTATCGCAAGTGGTGATAGTTAGTTTGCGGAGAAGTCAGCGGCGTGACGGTTGCCGTGGCTGCACGCTTGCTTATGTGCAAAGTTTGTAGCTTTATTCGGCTGTACGTGTTTATGGCGCGTGCCTGTGCGCGCGGATCCGCTCGCGTTGAAAGATAGCTGCTGCTGCAGGCTTCCGGGGGCTCTTGCCTCGGCTCTTGCTTCCAGATAGGGCTGATCTTTTCAGCTGACTGTCGCTGACGAAAGTTACTCAATTCGAACGATGATGGAACTGGATTTCGTCGAGCGAATGAATTTTCGCCGTTCGGAGCCAGGAATAGAATGCAGAAGGTCAAAAAAACGTTGATAGAACTTGGAGATTACGAGGGACCAATTGCACATGTTTCTAGAAATTAGGAACCTAGCCTGGCAGAGTAGGCAGTAGATTACACATTTAGATAAATAATTCTTTCAAATTTTTTCTTAATCTGGTCCGTAATCCGCAGAATCGAATGTAATCCGATCGATCTCATCTTCGCTCCCTTTAAATTCAAAATTTCCAATTTCCAGACTAACGTTAGGCCATCGCAGACGACTAGCCCAACGTCGAATAAAATGTCCCTACAACCGGAAGAGAATTCCAGCCGACGGACAGAATTCTAATCCCAACACGGGCAAACACTGCGTCGAGAATAGATGTGATTAACGATCGTTTGCCAGAAGCCTGGCTGGAGACGTTTCGAGATGTTCTCCCCGGTTCTCTACCAGCTAAGATCGCTGTTTGTACGAAGTCTTAATGACCAATTCGCGTTCCGCGCCGACAGAGGACGGTGGCGCAAGCCTGGAACGCAATCCCCTTGTCGACGGCCGTAAGACACCAGGCTCGACTGGCTAAATCCTCGGCTATGTCAACGTTCTGCTCCACGCTAAAATAATTCCTGATACCGCTGCGACTGCTCGTGCTCCCGTGGATTAAGAATCGGCGATGCCAAGGCCGATGTAATCGCGTTCCATCGCGATCTCTCATCTTCGTCGAGGGTTCATCGACTGGCAGGAAGGCCAGGGTATATATTTTCGGGGTAGTGGATTGATGGTATTCTTGGCGGACTCGAGTTCGATTAGGTTTCAGGTTAGGTATCCGGAACTTTGGAGATAACCCCTGGATTGTAATGCGCTAGTTTCGTAATTAGAGAACTGCGACGGAGGCGATCTGTCTGTCTCGTGTATGCTATCGATGGGAAGTTTAATAGATAAAAGTTAGTATTGCTTCTTATACCGGCGTTAGACTAGTTTGTTAACTCTCGAAAGACAGCTTCCAGTTCCCGTTGCTTTTTTCTCCGTTCTTCTTCCCTATGTTAGTCTATATTTTTCAATTGCGTTTATTGTTGCATTTCAGTTTCACTTGGAATTCTTTACCGTCAACAGAGAAATTTCAAAGTGCGAAAGTGAATGGGAAAATACAGGGATAAATAAAAGGTCGAAGGTTCTGTTTAGCAGATGAAACAAATTATTATTAGATTTCGTTTCCTCGTTTATATATAAAAAAATGTAAAAATGTATAAAAAAAAAAAATAAAAGAATCTGACATAGATTTCAACCTCTTGAGGGTTAAACTGTGTCTAAAAAGTACATATGTATTGAAAATATGAAACGATTAAATATTTTAACAATTCGTTAATTCAAAGTCGAATGCAGAATTCCCTCGGACAACAACAATTATAGAATAATTTTGTTTTCCAAAGAAACGATATGTCAAACACATTTTCGATAGCATTTCGTTACGATGCATCGGTGAAAAATTTTTTCACGACGTAATTGTGCTTTCTCGAGTTTTCGAGCTATGTGAATTCTTAAGGAAAGGAAAACAGAAAAAAAGAGAGAGAGAGAGAGAGAGAGAAGAAGAAGAAGAGTGGGAGAAACAATTTTCGAACGTCGTTTAAATGCAAAGAAGCAATCGAACAGAGAATTTTATCGGTATTTGTGGATCAGAGGCAGGGAACGACATCTCCGATTTTTATCCCTTTTGAAAGCATATTTGGCGAAAGGCGCAACTCCTTTCTGTCGCTGAATTTCCCTCCCCCCC